TCAAAGGGTGGGATGGGTGGGTGATCTCTCGGAGCTAAGTCTCCATTCGAGGGAGTAGTGTAGACAGGCTCGGCCATGGGTGATCTGCTGTGGGCCGGGCCGAGACTTCTGCATTATGAGTTACGAGGAACTGCGTGAGCACAAACGGAAGCTGCAATCAACGGATGCTCTTGAGTCTACAATTGCTAGATCTGTTCGGAAGGCCTCTTCTAAGGCTGAGAAGATGCCGTGGGAAAGGGGAGATGTTTTGTGCCCTGCTCCCCTTTTTCAGCCTGCATTTCCTCGTGGGCGGCTCATTTTGGGTCGTCCGGAATCTTCTTCTGGCGGCCTGTCTTCGGGCCGTGCAGAAAAGGCGCAGCTGGGTTCCGTTTTGAAAGCAGTTCGTGGTGGGCTTCCCAAGAAGCCTGGGCCGACTTGGGAAGAGAAGCTTACCTTGAATCGCAGAGCCGCAATGGTAAAATGGGAGTCCCTTGTCTGGAAGAACAAGGACAGCTTTGAAGTTGCCAGGAATGTTTTTCGAGACTCGTCATCGGGCAGACAGGCCGATCTGTCTCAGGCCCTCGTGGATTGCTTCGCTGGCAAGGCGAGTGCCACATTGCATTCAAGAGTTGGGCCTCTGTTGCGGTACGTTCATTTCATGTCGAAGGAGCATGTAGACCCTTTTCCTTTGGACGAGGGCAAGCTTTACATGTTTATGGATCGATACTGCAGGACAGCAGCCGCGACCTTTGCACGGAGCTTCCTTGAAACATTGAACTTCTCAAAGCATGTTTTGGGTTTGGATGCCCCGACCTCTGGCATCAGTCAGAGGGTGCAGGGGGTCGCCAAGGCTTGTTATCTGGACAAGAGGAAGCTGGTCCAAAAGCCTCCATTGCTTGTCTCTCATGTTCAGGCTCTCGAGGACATCCTGCATGGTGTTTCAAAGGTCAAGTTCAGTGACTACGACCGAGTGTGTGCTGGTTTCTTTTGCTTTGCTGTATATGCACGTGCAAGATACAGCGATGCTCAGGCGTCTGCATCTTTACAGCTCGATGTCTTGGAGTCTGAGAGCAGCTATGGGTTCTTGGAGGCGTCAGTTACCAGATCGAAGACTTCGTATAGCTTGGAGCGCAAGACGAGGTACCTTCCAGTGGTCGCACCGGTTTTGGGTGTCAGGTCAGATCCATGGGGCGTCGTCTGGCACGAGCTTCTCTTGAAGCTCGGAGTGACACTTCGGGAAGGGTGGCCGTTGCTTCCTATGCCGATGCAAGGTGGCGGTTATCAGCAAGCACCCGTCAGCCCAGCACATGCAGGGCGCCTTTTACGAGAACTTCTGCGCAGGGAGCTCGGGGACTCTGAAAGCATCAGTGCTCTGGGCACCCACAGTCTCAAGAGGACAGTTTTGAGCTGGCTTGCGAAATACGGCCTCCCTAGGGAAGTTCGGGCCATTTTGGGCTACCACAGTTCTGATTGCGGCACTGAGATTGTGTATGCTCGCGACACCTTGAGTGGACCACTCAGGGAGATGCAAGAAGTTTTAGAGGCTGTGACTTTTGGGAGGTTTCGGCCAGATGCCACACGGAGTGGCTACTTCGCCAGCGAGAGGCTTGCTCGCGACAGGGAGCCACAGGATGAGCTCGACAGCTCCTCTTGCGGTAGCGACGACGAGGAGGCGCCTGATTATGCCGAGGATGAGGGAGCTTGTGATGCCCTCGCCAAGTGGGAGCCGAAGAAAGGCCTCCGCGAGCAACTTTTGAAGTGTAAGGTGTACAGGCATAGAAGCACTCGTTTTGTTCATGTCGTTGCTAGCGAGGAGGAAGGCGATAGGTTCAGGTGTGGCAGAAAGATTTCGCCCGTGTTTATTCTCCTTGCAGAGCCCCCTGAATATCTCTTCCCAGTTTGCAGACAGTGCTGTCCGGATCAAGGGTGAAGCCTTTGGCTGGCAGCTCAGCGCTCGGCTGCGCGGGCAAGACACGTTTGCATGTGTGCTCATTTGGGATGCCCTGATGTCCATTTATGATGTCATGTGTTATGCCGCTATCGCGTATTGATGTCATTCGTGATCGACTTGTGTCGTCTTCTTTAATGTCGCCGAGGTTGCATCTTATGGTTTTTCTCAAAAAAACCATACTTGCGACGCCGAGGTTGCATCTAGGGGTCAAAGATGTCACGTGCAAGGCAGCCTGTGGGCCTTGGACGATGTCATTTGTGTGCCATCGACATGTTGATGTCACGTGCATGGCACTGAACGCGGCCGCTGCTTGAGGTCTGTCTGGGCTCCGGTGAGTTTAGACTTGTAGCACTGGGGCTATGGCTGCGTCGTATTCCGATTCCGAGGCTGTCTTCAAGAGGAGGGTTGAGACCTCTGGTCTGTCCGATGAGGACGTGGCCAACCTTCTCGTTGGCCTGAAGACTCTTAAGCAGTTGGCTTTCGTTAGTTCGTATACCCCAGGGCAGTCCGATGAGGGGCCGCTGTTAGCTGCCTTCTCCAAGCTGGTGAAGCGTGACACTGAGAATGATCTTGCAGCTCAGGCCTCTTTCAGGGCTCTTTTCCACACTGCATATGCAATTGTTACCACTGAGCTCCGGCAAGCTGTTGAAAAGTCCGATGAATCAGTCACGAGAACCCTCTCAGCCCCCGAGCGGGAGGAGAGGTACACCAGGCAAGCGAAGAAGTTGACCGGTGTCGCGATCAAAGGCGACACCGAGCCTTCGGAAGCTTTGGTTGATTTCTGCGTTTCAATTTATGAGGGGAACACTCTTCGCTTCATTCCTTGGGAGAAGTGCACCAGTCGCCTTGCTGAAATCCAGGGCGACGCAAAGAAAGACACTCGCTTCACCCTCGACTCTCAAGGCAAGTCTCTTAAGCTTGAAGCCAAGCCGCAGGACCTGCAGTGTGCAGTTGATTCCGAGATTCATGTTATGCAGGCCCTTCAAAGGCGGGCTCTTGCATGCGACCAAGCGAACTTAATCGATTACACCATTCTCGAGGAATGGCACCAAAGACTCATGCGAGCCAGGTTGCAGGATGTTCCCCCTGGCTATGTTCGGCCGAGCTTCAAGCAACTGCTGAGGGCCGATCAGAGGCTGTTTGCTGAGCTGCAGGATCGCAGCCGCACTGGCATCCAGTCGGATGCCAATGGTCGGCCGCTAGACAAGTTGCTGCCTCAGGTTATGGACCTCACCGAGATCACCATGCTGATGCAACCTTTGCCTGCTCCGAGTGCCTCGTCATCTGACGTAGCCGAGAAACCCTGGGTGGGGAAGGAACGACTCTCCCCGTATGGCAAGTTCAAGGACGGTAAAGGCAAAGGCAAAACAAAGACCAAACGCACTGGTGTTTTGCCAAAGGCCCTGGTTGGTTGCTATTCCTGCACTGCTTCAGGCGAGAATATATGCTATGACTTCAACATCAATGGTTGTTCTCGGGCAGTGAAGAACAACAGGTGCGAGCGCGGCATCCACATATGCGCTCGTTGCCGCCAGACTGGGCACAACGCAGCGAATTGTCCTAAGAAGGAGTGACTCCTTCGAGGCGCCGTTGAGGTGCCTGAAAATCCAGTGGCGATTTCAGAGGGTTCAATGGAACCTCGTGAGGCATGTGCCGCATCTTGCTTGAAGGAGCAGTCTTGTGGCGATCCAGTGGGATCGGGTTTGGGCTCAGTGGAGCATTCGCAGGCGGTTGTCGCCTCTTGTTCTGATGACTCGAATGCCGGTGGGCACTGTGAAGTCACAAGATCAAATCTCGTGCGAGATGGAGTGTCACTCAAGCGCTCTCTCGATTCGCTTCCTTCTGAGGCGGTTGGCCGGGACCTTAAATCCCGTGACACAAGATCGGATCCGGAGGAGTTTGCAATCGAGCTTTTGAATTCGTTTGATTTTTCAGCTGACAGCATTCTTGAGCTTTTCGATATGTTGCCGCATGGCGCCATTGTTCGTTCAGCTCAGGCCGGTGGGCAATCGTTCACCGTAGGATCTTACTCCCAAGGAGTGTTGAGAGGTCTGCGACATTACACAACCAAGATGCCTGCTGTGTGCAGGTACCTGAGTGCTTGTGTGCTGCATGTGTTTCCCGATCATAAATTTTCGTGCATCACTATTTCTGATTCTGTTGAAAGCCAGCCGCATATGGATTCAAACAATGGGCCGACCCTCAATTTGGTGAGCCCGCTGACTCACTTCCAAGGCGGGAATTTGTGTCTTCATCATGATACCACAGCTGATCGTGAGCTCGACCTGAGCCTCGGCTCTTGGGCCTTCAATGCGCGGGATTGCCTGCGCTCTGTGCGGCCTCACTCTGGTCGTAGGATTGTCATGATTGCATACAGCAGCCGAGGTGTTTGGGAGCTCTCGCATGCCGACCTCTGCGCCCTCTCGACTGCAGGTTTCGTGCTGCCTACGAGCCAATCCGAGATGCCTGCATCTCCCATAGGGCCCCTTCGGGATCTTAGGCATAGGTTCCCTCCTGCCCCGCCGGTTTCGCGCCCTGTCGACCCTAATAAGACGCCTGCTGCTGGCATGCCTGCGCCTCCTGTGCCAAGCAAAGCCTTGAAACCGACCAGGGCCACCGTGCTGGACCTCTTTGGGCAAGTCGGTCACTTTGGTAAGGCGTGTGCGTCCAAGGGTTTTCATGTCATGTCCTATGATGTCCAAAGGCCGCCTCGCACCACGCACAAGATTCATATCTTCAAGCCTGAGAGGACTGCTTCCTGGGATTTCTTTGCTCGGGTGCTTTTGGCTAGCTTCGGTCGTCGTGCTTCTCCAGCGTGCAAAGCAGTTGGGTGTTAGATGGACCGTCCTCGGTCCTTCTGATCATGAGGCCTGGGCGTCTCTTCACCGTTGTGTGCCCTGCATCGAGCTTTGTGCTTGCCACTTGCATCTTGGTTCTGGGCGTGTGAGGATTGCCGGATACTGCCCTTTCGAGCAATCCTCTGCTCAGTGCCTGTGTGACAACAGCTCTTGTGTTTCGGTTTCCAAGCAGTTTGCCGAAATGTTTGCGGAGCAGCTCCGCTTAGCGGCTGCCGATGACGGGTTTCTTATCGATGCACATGCCCTGTTGCCACAGGCCAACACCTGGGTTCAACGTCAGGCCAAGTCTTCAAAGTTGCAGCCGATCATGCCTGAGTATCGCTACACTGTCACCGTTTCGGTTGACTCTGCTGCTTTGTCCCTCGACTCCAAAGCTTGTTTGTGCGATCCGCTACAATCCGTGCCTGCTGGCTCTCGACTCCTCAGGCTCGCTTTGCCCGGGGGTAGTTGTCTTAAGCCTAAGGGGTCGAGTGCCAGCTCGTTGCCACCGGGCCCTGTGTCGGCCACATTTGGTGTCTACCGTACCCA